CAACTTACAATCTTAGTATTTACTCATTTTATCAGCCCATGCACAATACTCAAGAATTCTTTCACTGGTAGAACCTTGTGAAGTTATCGAAAGTTTTCCCATCGTTGTTGGTGATACACATGAGAATGGGAACCTGTTCCCACCCAACCCACCGCCACCCCCCACCCCTCCCCCAAACAATATATAGTCTTGGATTTGTTTTTATTAAGGTTTTCTGGTCCATAAAAAATCTTTATATATAATGGCTATATACAGGGAAAATTCTTCTTTAGTTTAGTATGGAGAAACGAGGTTCAGAGAAATACATTCTGGTCCATTCATCTGTCACTTTCATTAAGAATAAGGATTAAAAATAAATAAAATCTGTGTTATGGGCAGTTAACAGAGGATAAATAAAAGGAAACAGTGGGCTAATGATGTTTGTCTAATAAGAAGTTTTCAGTAAGTGTTCATCAATGGGAAATTACCAGCCACACTTTTTTATTCTGTTTGAGCCACAAATATTAGAGTTAATATCTGTGGCCACAGCTTTTTAAAATAAATCATGGCGCTCTAGCAATTTGGAACAGATATTTCCTATATTGTAAATTATTTCCAGGACCAGATGACTTCACTGGCAAATTCTACCAAACATTTAAAGAACAGTTAACACCAATCCTTCTGAAACTCTTCCAAAAAATCAAAAAGAGGGGACACTTCCAAACTCATTTTATAAGGCCAGCATTACCCTGATAGCAAAGCCTGGTAAGAATACTACAAAAAAACTACAGACTGATATCCCTAATGAATACAAAAATTCTTAACAAAGTATTAGCAAAATATTCCTATTGAATATAAATTCAACAATACATCAAAAGAATGATATACCCTGACCAAATGGGGTTTATCCCTGGGATATCAGGGTGGTTCAACATACACAAACCAATAAATGTGATACAACACATTAACAGAAGGAAAAATAAAAATCGTATGATCATCTCAATAGATGAAAAAAAAAAGCATGTGACAAAATAAAATAGTCTTTCATGATAAAAACCCTCCATGAATTGGGTACAGAAGGAACACACCTCAACATAATAAAGGCCTTATACAATTAAGCCCACAACCAACATCATACTTAACAGTGAAAAATGGAAAATTTCTGCTCTACGATCAGAAACAAGACAAGACTGCCCACTCTCATCATTTTTACTCCGTGTAATACTAGAAGTCCTAGCTAGTGCAATTGGGCGAGACAAAAAAATAAAAGGCATTCAAATCAGAAATGAAGAAGCAAAAGTTGTCATTATTTGCAGACAATATGATCTTATACATAAAAAACTCTAAAAGGCTCAATCAAAATTCTCTTAGAACCAATCAAGAAATTCAGTAAAGTTGCAGGATATAAAGTCAACATACAGCAATCAGTGGTGTTTCTACAAACTAACACGGAAACATCTGAAAAAAGAAAGACAACGATCCCATTCACAACAGCATCAAAAACAATAAAATCCTTAGGAATAAATTTAATAACCAAGGAAGTGACGATCTGTACAACGAAAACTACAAAACTTTAATGAAAGAAATGGAAGAAAATACAAACAAGTGGAAAGACACCCCATGTTTATGGATGGGAAGACTAACACTGTTAAAATGTCTATACTACCCAAAGCCATCTACACATTTAACACAATCCCTATCAAAATTCCAATAGCGTTTTTCACAACAATGGGGAAAAAAATCTAAAATTTGTATGAAGCCAGAAAGACCACCAATAACCAAAGCAATCATGAGAAAGAACAAAGCCAGAGGCATCACACTTCTGATTTCAAACTATACTACAAAGCTTTAGTAATTAAAACAGTAGAGTACTGGGCGCCTGGGTGGCTCGGTCAGCTGAGCATCCAAATTCAGCTCAGGTCATGGTCTCACCATCCGTGAGTGCAAGCCCCACATCAGGCTCTGCACTGCCAAGTGTGGAGCCTGCTCAGATTTCTTGCTCTCTCCTCTCTCTACCCCTCCCCTGCTTGCGCTTTCTCTCTCTTTCAAAATAAATAAATAAACTTGAAAAAAAAAAACAGTACAGTACTGTCATAAAAACACATACAAAGACTAATGGGACAGAACACAGAGTACAGAAATAAACCCTTGCATTTATGGTTAACTAATATTTGACAAGAGAACCAAGAATACTCAATGGGGAAAAAATAGTTTCTTCGACAAATGGTGTTGAGAAAGTTGGATAACCACAAGCAGAAAAATAAAATTGGACACCTATCTTATACCATTCACAAAAATGAAGTCAAACTAGATTTAAAAGACTTAAACATAAGATGTGATATTGTAAAACTCATAGAAGAAAACATGGAAAGAAACTCCTCGACATTGGTCTTGGCAATGATTTTTTGGACTGGACATCAAAAGCAAAAGTCAAGTGAAACTACATCAAACTAAAAAGCTTCTACACAGAAAAAAACAAGTCAAGAATGAAAAGGCAGCCTATCGAATGGGAAAAAATACTTGCAAACCATATATTGAGTAATGGGTTAATATTCAAAATACATAAAGAACTCATACAACTCAACAACAACAAAATCCAATTAAAAATGGGCAGAGGAACAAAAATAAGTATTTTTCCAAATGAGACATCCAAAATGGCCGATGGGTACAGAAAAAAAAATGTTCATTACTACTAATTATCAAGAAAATGCAAATCAAAACCCCTATGAGATATCACCTCTCACACCTGTTGGAATGGCCCTCATCAAGAAGATAAAAGGCAAGTGTTGGCAAAAATGTGGAAAAAAGAGAACCTTTATTCACTGATAATGGGAATGCAAATTGGTTCAGCCCCCGTGGAAAACAGTATGGAGGTTCTTTTAAAAAATTAAAAATAGATCTACCAAATGATCCATCAATTGGTAGCTGGCTACATATCCAAAGGAAATAAAAACAGGATACGGAAGAGATGTATGCACTCCCATGTTGACTGCAAAATTATTCACAATAGCCAAGCTATGGAAACCATCTAAGTGTTTGCTTATTTGGTGGAATATTACTCAGCCATGAGAAAGGAGGAAATCTTGCCATCCGTAGCAACATGGATGGACCTTGAGGGCATTATGCTAAGTGAGATAAGTCACACAGAAAAAGGCAAACACTGTATGATATCACTTATACCTGGACTCTGTAAAAACCAAAACTGTAACAACAGAGAGTTAAACACCAGGGGCTGAGAATTGGGAGGATGCTTAAGGGTACAAACTTGCAACCAGTAGATAAATAAGTCCTGGAAACCTAACATACAGCATAGAGGTAATATACAACAATACTGTATTACAATTTTGGAAGGTGCTAAGAGACTAAATCTCAATTGCTCCCCCCCACACAGACAAACACGAAAGACAATTATGTGACACGATGGAGGTGGAAGCTAATGCTATCATGGTAATCAAACTGCCATATATATACATATCTCAAATCAACACATTCTATGCCTTAGCTTCTATAATGTTACATTTTAACATACCTAAATAAGGTTATTTTCAGCTTTTAGCTGTAAACTAGAAGTATATTTCTGAATTAATGCCTTTCAGAAAAAGACTGAGGTATTTTGTTACACATACATACATAAAATCTTCAAGTGCTGATCAATCAAAATGCCATTATTTCTTTTTTTCGGTACTTACTTTGGGACTTCCATGGTAACAACCCTATGACTCCTGAAATGTTGACTTTGGAGAGATAAGGGTTATCTTAATCCAAAACACCTGCGAGTGGTTACATCTGCAAAAAGGGCTACGTTGTTGCAGACTTTAGAGAAGAATCATCATCTAGTGTTCTTATGATGGGAATCCTAAAATTATCTGCAAGTCTGTGGAAAAAACCCTGAAGGAGTAAATTAACCACTTTTCACAGTTTTTTAAATGCTTTTAGAAAATTCTGAGATCAACAAGTTAAACACATGATCACAGCTACTGACCGAAAGGAAACTTATTTTGTATGACGCAACACTCTGGTCACAACAGCACTTCACAATCGGAAAGCCAGAAAGACCTAAACTCAGATCCTGGTCTAGCTCAGCTTATAGGTGAGGGTCTCTCAGGTCTCAATTTCCTCACTTGTGAAATTAATGGAATTATTCATTCAATGTCGGTTGAATGCCTACTATGTATCGAACACTGTTTTAGCAACAGAAGTCTGTTGTTCATAACTCGTTTTGAGAAAATAAAAACATGGCCCTTGCCCTAGCAAAGCTCCTAATTTTGTGAAGAGACAAAGAAATGCAATGTGCTAACTGCTATGAACAAACTGCTGTGCTTAAGCAAACTGAGAAAGGCTGCAGAGAGAAAACACAGTTGAGCTGAGACTCGAACAATGAATATGAATTGCTCAGATGGGGATTATGGGAATCCCCTGAAGAAAACAAACTGGGCAAAGACAAAAAGACAGGAAAAAACAAGACTAGACGGGTTTAATGTAGATGATGCGTAGGCTGGGCACCAGGGAGATAAAATTTAGAGTATTATAGACCACACTGGGGAACCTGACCTTTAACTTTTAAGGAATGATAAGGTTCCTTCTACATTATGATTCTGGAAACTGGCTGCAGGCCCAACCAGATGAATCCAATCGGTCCACATTTCATCTAAAGCTGTCAGAATCTTCTAAAGCAAAAAAAAAGTTTTAAAACAAAAAAGCCATCCAGGCTTTGATGCTGATAGGAAATCTAAAAGACCTCACTCACTTAACTGGTAAATTTTAGGACTAGCAGATTTCCATTGTTATGATTAGAGTAGTCAAACATTCTAAAAGCAAGATATATGACAAATGATTTACTTCTATTCTACATCAAATATAAACTCTCTATAAACGGAGAGGTGCGAAAATTGTAAACAAGTATTAAATTTACATACCCCCAAAATATTTTCCATACTTTGTTTAAATAAAGCTTCGCTCTCTGCATTCGGAATATCAGTTACCTATAAAAGTACCCAAAGAAACTACAAGGTCCCATTTACCTGTGTTCTGCAGGTACAGGAGGCGGCCAAACAGCAGGATCTCTAAATGGCTCATCTTGACAGGACACAGGGAAATCTGGGGGCTTGTCAATTTTAAAACTTTCCAAAGTGCTGACAATACTTTTAACTTGTTCATATTCTTCCAGTAATTCCTGCCGAACCTTAAAAGGAAATAATCTTTACGCTAGAAACTGTTTACGGTTTACATGAATGGCAAATAACAAATTGCTACTGAATGCAAGTTTTCTCAATATCAAAGTATGCAAAATGAATCATTAAAACATTAAAAAAACAAAGAACCATGTAAAGTAATATAGATAGAGGGCAGGGATTGGACTGAAAAAAGACATTATGCACCTTTTTGTAAGGGAAGTAGTCATGATTTTTTCAAAATGGAACTCTATTTCTACCAGTGAACGTGATGACCATTAATAGAATTTAAAACAAGCAGTAAGGCAGTAACAAGGTAACCATTCCCCGAAATCTAAAATGTTATGCTAAATCCTTTTAATATATTTGTAAAATAGCTTCCAGAATACTATCAGCCAGAATTTTCACCAGCATTAGGAAATGCTAACTCCGAATATCACTAAGTATGAAATGCCTATTACGAGCATCTGAAAACCTGAAATGGTGTAATACTAAGCATTACCCAGTTCCATTTTTTTTTAAGTTTATTTATTTATTTTGAGAGAGAAAGAGAGAACGAGCATGGGAGGGGCAGAAAGAGATGGGGAAAGAGGATCCGAAGTGGGCTCTGTGCTGACAGCAGAGAGCCAGATGTGGGGCTTGAACTCACTAACCGTGAGATCAAGACCTGAGCCGAAGTAGGACGCTTACCCGACTGAGTCACCCAGACGCCCCTCCGATTTTTATTTACATTCTCTTTCACCTAAAACCTGAATTCTTCTGGCCTTGTTTAAATTCTTTCAAGTGTTGGATAAAGTTCACTTTGAATTCAAAGGCAAGATTTTTTCCCTCATTTAAAAAACTTCACTGAGTTCCTACTACATGGAACTTCTTGTGTTTTCAAACTTTGAGACCAAACTAATTTTCAAAGGCAAATAGATAACAGATTGAAAATTATATTCATAAATTCCTTTTAACAACTCTAATTTGTTTTCTGACCAGAAAGTATACTTTACTGTAGAGAAAAGAAAAATCTAGATACAATTCAACTGCTAATATATGCTATTATATACTTGGAGAAATAAAATTACAGAACCTAAGGGAAATGAACCGTAAAAATAAATGAATAGAAATGGTCACTATTTAACACAATTAAGGAATTGTCAAAAATATTTCCGTGCTAGATTAATAAACCACTCTTGCCTGTGGCTACTGTGCAGGATAGAACACAACTACAAATTTCAACTGGAGTTAAAGCAAGTATATTGTTCTCACTCAACATAATTTGGTAACACTTAAGTCAGAAAATAAGTCAAATTTACCCTGAAACCTTAGTGAAATATCAATTTCTGACATGGAAAAATTAGAAGAAACACTTGAAAGGCATTAGTACATTAAATAGAAACTTCAAAGAAATGCTTGACTTTGTACTTTTAACTTTAAAAGGATTTTAAGTTTTAAAACTAAGTGGGGAAATTCTAATTCAAGTTTTTATTAACTGTACTATTATATAATCAAGTTGTACAGTCAAAAGACACAGCAAATATATTAGCTTTATTAGATTATTGATTCCTTTGTATTTGTAGGGAGTCTTTCAAAATACTCTTTTAAGAAAGAGGAAACTTTCTTAAAGGAAAAGTTTTGTGAAATGGGTCAAAACTCCATGTAAAAATGAAAGGGAAAAGGGTGAGTATAAATACCTTATATCAAAAATTTATAAACACACACAACTAGGTGACTGATCATGAAAATTAAAAAAATTACGAGTAGATTCCATGACAATTAAGTATCTGCAAAATATGCCTCATGAAAGGTATTATCAAAAATATTCACCAGGCAAGACAAAATTATTCAGAGTACATTTTAAATACATTTCAGTATTCAGACAAATAAGAAACAACTATTTACAAAACCTCTAACTAATAGTCCAACAGTCTATACTCCAACTAACAGTCCTCCAACGGTCCAACTCTGGTCTCTCAAGTATAATAAACTATTACCCTCACCTGAGCGTGTCTTACCTGTTGCCATTTGCCTTTGACAGCCGGGTCTCTGACTGATTGGCAATGTCTCTGAATCTGCTGTATCACGCCCTGGTAATATACCATTGATGAGTCATAGTTTCCAAGAAGTGCAAATTCTCTTCCTTTCTTTGCATTGTCACAAATCTCAGCCAAATTCATTTTCTTGAAGAGAACTAAAGAGAACACATAAGGTCTTCTTATTAAGTTTTCAGCACCAACTTTAGAACATTTTTTCTTATTCTTTAAAATATCTGCTTGGGGGCGCCTGGGTGGCTCAGTCGGTTGAGCATCCGACTTTAGCTCAGGTCATAATCTCACGGATCGTGGGTTCCAACCCCACATCCGGCACTGTGTTAACAGAAAAAAAAAAAAAATTAAATTAAAAAAAAAAGTATCTGCTTAAAAGTACTTTCAAAGTCAAAATGGTTCTCTCATTCTTTGAGGTTATCTGAATGCATCTTATAATACTGAGCAGAGTTTCTAATTTTGGAAGCACAAAGGAGATCATAAAAGAACACCCAAGAAGATAACACAGAAATTACACAGCTCTGAACTACTGGTTTATGTTACAGGTACATAAATTGGACACTAGTTTTCCTTGCTCGTTTATAATTACCACAAGCTGTAATTACCATAAAAATGGACTTGATTTTATTCAATTTATTTTTGATGATGTAGAAACATATAACTGCAGAAATTAGTTCTCCCTAAAACATTTTGGCCCCCCAAACAAAAGGTCGTACTTTCTTTTTCTTTTTGGAAAGACAAAATGTTTTATTTTAAAACCCTGGAAAAGCTATTGAAAAGACAAATATCCATTATATAACCATGAACGTTAAATATCTGGAAACTGTCAATCTTCGAAAAGGTGGTAGGCACTTCCAAAGAGCTAAATATTGCAAATGATTCTACCGTATGTCTTCTCTATTATCAACAGTACTTGATGTGATGTAAAATACCAAGAAGACTCAACTAATTATTTGGTCGCCATCTTAGGGTTCAATTCAATTACCCAAGTAAAAGTTTTGTCCAAGATGTTCCTGTCACAAGAAACTTCTGGGTGAATTTCAAAAAGGTTCACTAAAGGATCTTCGTTTGTTTGAGTATTACTGTACTGTTGGTTACTGGCCACTACAGATGCTGGTTCTAGGCCAGCCCAAGGGTCTTCAAGCATTGAAGGCTTGAAATAACTTTCCAACTCATTAGACATTCTTTTTTCTCTACCACGATCCAAATGGTGTAGATGTCCTTGGAGAACCCTGGGGGTGAGGCTGCTGTTCCCGTGGGGGAATAGCCAAATCGCTGCTGGGACCCCGCGGGGT